AGGAATGCCTTTGAAACCTATTCTGTAACTAGCAGAAAGTAGGCACAGTAAGACAGATAGATATAGCATGCCTTCCATACCAAAGGCTTGGTCCTGATGCAATTATTTTCAGAAGTGCTATAGATTTCAGTGGGAGTGGAACTGACCCCTCAACAAGCAAACTGTTGAACTCTGTAGTGCTCTGCAGAAGACATAAATAGTCTTCTAATGACTACAGCACAATGTAAACTCTGCCTGACTACAAGCACATTGTATTAGTTTATAATAAAAGCAAACATTCATTAAGTTGTCTGTTGATGGCATTATAAATCCTTTCAGAAAGAGCCATGCTCTTCATAGTGGAATGTGATAAAATGTTAGTAGCCAAAATGGAAAGAAAAAAAAAAGTAGTTTGTTAAGAATTCTATACCCCAGGCTGAGCATGTCATGGAGACCTGGGGTAAATATGAAGAAATGGGGCCCTAGAAGAATGCTAGGAAAGCCCAACCTGGCGCTCACTAGGAGCCTCTTAGCTTCTTCCCAGGAATAGCAGCATCACACATGTTCTTGTGAAACCGAAACAGTTATTGGGAGACAGAGCAAAACTACAAAGAAACAAGGGGGCCCAATTTTATGGTTCACCACTCTATCATCAGTGCCTATTTTGCACGGGAAGACAAGATGTATGTTGGAAAGGGGACTTTCTGAAATATTCCCTACTAAGTGAATATCTTTTGGGTGAGGGGGGAGGAAAGGGGGAAGGGAAGAGTGAGAGAAGAAGCTGCAAATGACCTTTCTTGAGATCCCTCTAACTTCCTGGACAGATGAAAGATAATGAATTTTTCTCTGTAGCTGCATGAGTTAGCACCTCCTGTTCTGGAGTTCTAGAACAGTTTCTCAAAACAAAGAGTGCGTTTTCCAAAAAAACCTAAAACTAGTTTTAGCTTTGTGAACTGGATTATTTAGCATCATTATCTACAATAGCAGAGTACTGGGCCGGATGACTGGAAGAGGCTTCCTAAGTCTCAAGACAATTCACTTAAGCTCCAATGTATTTAAGACTTACCTGTTTTTCTACCAATCAGGGCTTCTGCATTAAATGAATATGCATTTCAGTCACTTTTATCTTTCAACTATTAATTTTACCTTGAAGTCGCTCATCAGTAATAATTTTGTTAGTTTGATTCCAAGTACTGTCGATAAAGATTATTTTCTTCAGTCCAGTGCCTTCACTTTTGTTTGCCTTGCATTCATTTATGTTTTGTTGTTCTGATTCTATCCGTGCTTGCTTGAGAAGTGGTTCTGCTGTAGAATCATCATCTTCGCCACGAACATTTTTCTTCGTATTTCTTTGCAGATGGAGACCAAGATCTTTAAGTGAAATTGAGTTGGGACCAGGAAAGATGAGTACCATCTTAAATAATGAAAAATACAAGGATCCGAATGTCATATTGAAGGAAATTTAAAGCGTCTAGTAAAATGTTTAGAATAATTTCATTAAAATTGAAAAAGTAAAACTTTTTTTTCTTACATCAATCCAAAGAATTTAAATTAATCTGAATCAATAAGAGTGAAAGGGAATCTCTCTTTAAATAACATCTTTGTTACATTTATAACATTTCTGTACCTATTAAAATATATCCATTACTTAATCAAGTATTTTCTGTGGGAGAAGCTATTTTTTCAGCTTTTTTATCTAATGCAGGGTTCCTTGGGAAGATGTCCAAATTCCATTTTTTATTATGGACTTATGGGCCAGGGTATAAACTCAGGAATATTTGTTGTCCTTAATTAATTCACTACATTTAAGACTACACTAGATCATTTATGCTGACCAGTAGGACTACTGCTATTCCTGCACTTTTTTAAAAATCTCAGTTCTGCACCTTCCTAACTTCCATCTTTTGTGGCTACCTCTGTTCTTTCCTTGACCAATTCCTTTCATCATGTGATCACCACTGAAATAGTAAATGGCAACAATGAAAGTGCTAATTCTGAATCCTAATTTTAAGCACTTAAGTGACATCCCCCAGCTGTGTTTTTGGAGTTTACACTACATTTTTTTCAGGCTCTGTGCTAAGGAACAAAACACTGCCCAGGTGCTTGGTAGTGCTAGAAGATTTTTAAAAGAACAGAAGCTTACATTTTTCAGAACCTGAATATGCTAAGCAAGCCACATAACTACATCAAGGGAATGAATCAGGCCAGTAGCCTAGATGACTGATACTTTTGCTCTATGTAGTAAGTAAAATACTCCTCCCTGTGCAGTGAAACATATCCTTTCCACCTGAGGACAAAAAAATATTGTGAATGTAACCGTATCAGTGCGATTAGGCTGTGCACGTGGGTCGTGCCTGCTTCAGGTTCTGCCAGAGCCCATACACCCTCTTTACCTTGCACGGATACGTTCTAGTGGGTGTGGGTGGAGCGGAAGTGATTACTGGAGGAACATGTGCAGTGTGATTGGATCTGATCCTCCCTAAGAAGGAGGATGGAGGACAGGTGGAGGTTGGAGGACAGGCAGCTGAGCACTTCTCCAGCAAAAAGCCTTCTTATATGCATAGAATTTCCTTACTTCATGTCTTTTTTCTTCATATTCAGGAATGCAAGGGTATGTGTAAATCATAACATCTTCAGCGGCCAGGAGCTTAGCATGTACAGCAGTGCTTTTGCCATCATTTTCATTTGGGTGTTTAATGATGTCAATCTTCAAAGGCAGCTACAACAGGAGATAAACGCACAAATTAAGCCTAGATAAACATGTCACCTAGTGCTGCCATTAAAACCAGGAAAAGTTCCCTTAAAAAAGAAAGTTTGTAAGACGCAGCAAATTTTGTCCCCTCCCTGCATATCTAACAAGTATATACAGAAAATACTAACCTTCACAACTGGAATTTGTTTGGTGGGGACAGTTTCAACTGGAACATAACATGAATAACAATAGAACATCCGGGAACTCCCACACTTTGGACACTTTGATCTCCCACTCTTTTGGGCCTTTTCAAGAACTTCATGGGATGCTATTTGTAAGTTTTGAAGTGGGTTATCTTGCAAGGATGAAGTAGTCTGTGATTCTGGGTTTTTCAGACATTCAATTTTTTTTTTAAATCCCCGATGGCTTTCTTGATTTAATAGTGTTGGCGAATTTAATGACATCTTTGGTTCAAACAAATGATATCCTGTACCTATGAAAAAAAAATACTGTATCTGAGATATTATCAAATTAATCAGTTTAGAAGAGTTATTCTGTGTGATCTTTTTAAAAACACACTTGTCTCAGAGCAGAAATCTCTCATATTGGATCAGTCTAATCCAGAAGACATCATCATCATCATTTTTGACAATAGTACCCAGAAGCCCAAAATAAATCTTTGGCTACTATACACACATAGATTACAAGATAGTCTTGAACTCAAAACAGCTTGAGATCTACTCCCATGACTGTACAAATATGTATAATTTTACTCAGACAAGTTGTCTCACTCAATGTAGTCAAGTGCCTAAAGTAAAAAACATGTATTTGTAAGACTGTAGTCAAGTTTGTGTTAGCTTTGAGTAGAAGTCCCATGGATCTCCAGTTGGATTACTCAGGCGAGTCAAGTTAAGAATGCAAATAAGTGTTTGCAGGGCTGAGGGTTTAAATAAAATAAACAATTTAACTACACAGAAGTAGGCCCCAGTCCTGCAGTCTGCTGTGCACAGGCATGCCCTGTGCACAGCCGGTGCCGAGATGTGCGGGCTCTGGAAGGGCACACAGCCCATGCAACAAGTTGTAAGATCAGGGGCTGAGCCCAGAAAATAGGTGAAAGACTTACGACCCAGGTTCCTTATGCTGACCACCTAAGCGTGGCGTGCGGGTACGGGGAACTAAACTGGGATCAGGTTCATTAGCTCGAGTCAGCGAGTCAGAAAGTTCTCATTTCAGCTTCTGCGATTTTCAAGTTACAGTTGCTGAAAACTTATCCCTGAAGGCCACCTCCAGCGCTAGGTGACGGCAAGGCCCTCTCCGGCCCGGGCAGCAGGAGGCTGCAGAGAGGGCTCAAAGCCAGCTCGAGGCACCTGGCACTGCCAGCTCTACCTCGCGCCTCCTCGCACGGCATCGCCCCCCTCCGCGTTTAGTGCCTGGTGGCCCCGGGGGGTCCAAGGGTCACAAAGAGAGACAAAAACCCGTGCATACTCAGCCCCCAGCCAAGGAGATTCCCCTTTCCAACAGGAAGAGAGAAAACAGTGCAGTAAAATCGGGGCCCGTACAGGAAACGCTGGGCCACTGCAGCCGTTCCTCGGCG